CCAGTCCTGCCCCTCCGGCCAGCTTCCTCCTCTCCAGCCCAGCTCAGAAAGCCTACGTCCCTCAACCAAAAGGGAGACCACGTTCCTGGGGCTTCTGCCAAATTCAAATTCCTCAGCCCAGACCCTGCTCCTGTGCCTGTGGGTGCTGTCACCTGCATCCCCACCTCTGCAAACTAACTTACCTTGCTTGCATTGGAGGTAGATTGGGTGCTAATAATTTTTTTTCAGGACACAGATTAATTTATTCTCAAGGAAAATTATTTATGGCAGAACCTGTTGGTGGTAGAAATGAACCAATCAATGGGGTGAGCAGCAGTACTGACACTTGACTGGTTTTTGGTTTTTAATAATAGGCTGGAAAAGTTTCCGGACAATGGAGATGGAGCAGGCTGCGAGTTGGACAAACGCCTTTCCCCGTGCCTTTACTCGTCTTTTGTGCAGAGTAAGGAAACTCCAGCACCATCCTGTCACTTCTGGAAATCTGAGTTCCAATCTATACTTGAAGTTAACTGGAAGCAGGGAGGATCTCTTCCTTCAGGAAGATGTTGTACAGCAGACACCAACATAAGTAGCAATACCAGAACTTAAAAAGGAATTGGTTTCTTAATATGGTACAGATATATAGTGCCCAAATTCACCGTGTTGTAACCTTTTACTATTTAATCTTTAATAATTGCCTCAGACACTTATTTCTAAATACTTTGTGAAGCAAGGCTAAAAGGAAATTAAAGGGGGGTATGACACAAAAACCAGGTTATTTTATATACTAAGTGGCACAGTGACTAAAGCCAAACCCAGCAAGTGCCAAGCACAGTCCACTCACCTCTCATTAAAAAAATGGGACGTTAGGACACTTGGTACCGTTCAAAACCAAGCACTGAATGTCCAGCCATGACTCAGTGCCGATTACAAAAGAGTCTCATGTTAACTTTCTACACAGTGACCTGGCTTACAGCGATTTCACTGCGTGATAACGCTTAGTTTGCAGAAATAATTAAAAACAAAAGAAAAAAGCTCTTTTAGATTGATTTTGCAATAGTAGTGCAACAAGAAGCCAATCAAAACACAACAGTTTTATTTTTAATTATAGAACTAAAAAGACTAATATTTTATTAACAAATTGAGAGAAATGCCAGAATTCCTTAATAATCTCCACTGTAAAACTGTGCTTTAAACATTGCCATAACATACTATAGGACTACGTCCTCCCTCCCCTGCCGCTGTCTCCCTTCTTCCAAGGACTATTGAGAAATACCTCATTGACATATTTCATCTGAAACTTCAAACAACTATTCTAAAGCAGATACTCATCGCAGTCATTTTCAGCCCAACAGTTTGTGTATCACAAAAATAAGAAACAACTTTAAATGAGAAATATTCAGAAATTAACTACAGACATTACCACCTACACGGCAGATTTCACTTATTACAGAGCAGTAGTTGGATCCAAGTATTTGATAAATCAAACATTCACAAATGCATGTCTTCCAATTTTTTCTTTCCCCACTTCCATTTTTTCTTAAAAAATAATCTTCAGCAGTCCACAGACTGCCTAGAATATACCTAAGCACAGCTTTCCCTAGCGCTAAAAATTTTAACTCCATCACTGCAAAGCATCCTACGCCACAGGTTCTCACAGTATGATGGAGTGTCACTTGAGAGGGACTTACTTAAACTGGGATATATACAAGTTCTAAATATTTTACTTCCTAAAGGGATGTCTGCCTTAGAAAACCACAAATACTTCCGTCAAAATACTGACTTGAAAGAGCAAAGTCAGGAATATGTATGAACACCTATGACTGACGGTTTTTCCTTCCACTATGGCTTGAAATTATTCTTATTTAACGTTTAAAAGCATAACTAAGCTCATTTTGTCTCTAGAAAGTGTTTGGAAATAAAAGTGAAATCTAAGGAGAGACGTATACACAGGGCAGGACTGCTGTAACAGTAACTACCTTGCTTTCACATTTGGAGACATGAAGAGCAGATTCTTCTGTAAACACGTGATACAGCATCATTACATGACCCAGGCCAGCCATGACTGAAGGACAAGCTCGCTGCAACTTACGGCAGACCCAGAAGGTAGTCTTGGCTTGGCAGTAGTCAAATGCTTAGACCTGGTTTAGAGAACTAAGGTGCGGACTGCTTCTTCAGCAGAGTTTTGTGAAAAGTTCAGAATGATTTGGTTTCCACATCTAGCAAGAAAATGTGATTTATTAGGTTATTGCAGTGGACATTTTGGCAGAGAAAGCAGTCACACTGAAGTATGCATCTGTTACATCCAAAAAAAGCCAAACAATTTCACTGGTCTGTTTTAGAGAACTGGCCTGGACTGCACAAAAGGCAGTGTTTAATTCAGACAGAGGATGGGGAGAAGGGCAGAAATAACACACCAGGGGACACAAGGAATCTGCAACCAGCTTTGCATGTTTGTGTGAAAGAAATTGTACCGGGGAAGAAAATTCAGAAAACAAACAGTACAATCCATCACGCTAGAAAGATCTTCTCTTGCACAGCTCAGGAGAAGGAGCTTGCACTGCTAAGATATTAAAAATGATATCCTTGTCATCCACTGGGTTCACAACCGGTGAGCAAAGACTCAACAAATTCAAGAGGAAAAATTAGGGCATTTTTGCTGTAAGCTTCAGCTGGTCACAGCAGATTAGAGGAAATCCTGCAGCCAGCAAGAGAAGCAACTGCAATGGAAAATCCCAGCTCCCACCAGGCAGCTGCTGCCATCCAGTGGGTACTGCTCATGGGCACAGGGACGCACGCACCGAAATGAAGACAAGCATCTCATTTTCAAGTTGATTTTTGTAAATGGAAAAAAATGTATAAAATCTATCCATACATTAACAGATACAGGAAGTTACACAATCCAGTTTACACCTAAAGTAATAGCAATCAGTCCATAATAAGAACAGGGAAAATATTCCAATGCTGTAATTTGTCCAAAGTTACTACAGGGCAGAGGACGGCAGGGGGAGGGAGGGTGGCTGGCTGTTGCTTTTTGGTGTGTGGATAAAACTGGCTACCTTCCCTACTTCCAAAGCAATGAGACAATTTCACCAGACACGTATTAGGAATACTTCTGAAATGCATCTGACTCTAGCATTAACACTGAATATTCAAAGATTCATATTATTACAGCACAATGTTTCGATACTTTTGCCTCCAGGAAAGGGCAGTGGATAGCAGATAATATCCAAGAGAAATCCTGCACCCGTCTTAGTATTTACAGCATTGGTTGAGTTCAAGGGTTTTATTCTATGATTTTTATCCATCCTGGAACACTTAAAATTTGTGTATTCTCAGCTCAGACGTTTACAAAGCATGCAGAGACTGTTACTACTCACGGAACATTTAGGAGGCTATGGAAAATGCGCTGGTGGATATTGGTCTAATTTTAGTGAACTCATGTCTACCATTACATGCAAGCCACCCCTGGCAGTAGTCTTCCCCTCACGCCTCCATTTTTTGGAGGCCCCAGAAGACAAGGCTTGAATGAATGGGCATGGAAGCTCAGGTACCATTTTAAGGAATAAAACAAAACAACCATTAGCAGGGGCCACCTTGTGGGAATGCCTACGCTGCTACTGGCGTACCTGTGGGTGAACGGTGTCAGCCTAGGGCTCAGTAAAGATGCCTGACTGAATTTTAAAAGGAAAAGGGAGGCACCTTAAACCCTGAAAAGACAGACTTCCTGTGTTTGACAGGTGTATTCAATATGCACACACAAAGCAAGACAGTAAGCTGTGCTCATCATCCACCCAGAAGACTGCACCATTTTTCTGAACACACAGAATATACAACCCCTTTTCAAAATAACAACAACAACAACAACAACAAAGTAGAAGTGCAGAATCCAGACTGTTGGGTGGTCTGTGTTTAAAAAACGTAAGAAAGAATAAAAGCTAATGCTGTAAATACAACTATTCCCTTTCAAAGCAAAGGCCACATAAAACTGTGTTGCTCAGTTTGGTTTTTACTTCATGCCACCTGTAAACACAAGACTGGATATTCAGTTTCTGGGAAGAAATGAAACCACTTTTACATCCAGAGTAAAAGAAAGGCCCTCCGCTGCCTGGATCACAGATTACCCAGAAAAAGATAGCTGGGGGAAGGCTTCCTCTTCTTGTTTGCTCATTTCATTAGAAAGGTCATATCTGAACAAAAGAGCTTTCAATAAAAGCACAAAGTATTTCTTGACGTTATTTCTGCCCTCTGTCTCTAAAGTTTGCTACGGGGACTAACACTTTCCATTCCTCATCAACAGATACATCACCTTTTTGGCACCACAGGTGGAATTTCTTCCTAATGTATAATTTTTCCTTATACAGAAGTCGATTGTCTAATCATGCAAATCCAACAAATTCCAAAAAGTGCCACAATACAGCTCAGCTCTTTGCAATCTACTACCTAGTTTGTACACTGCCCCAGGAACCTCCCAGAGAACAGACTGTTATCCTTACTTAGATCTGACAGTGTATTTCATATATGGCATTTCAACCTCTCTTTGGGGGGAGAGAGAATTGAAATCCACTCCCTGATTCCATTGCTTTTTCATTCTCAGAGTCCTGAAATGCATGGAGATTTCTTTGATTTGTTGACGATGTCTTCACTGAACAGCCTGATTAGAGAAAAACTTACTGATTCAATCAAATAGAAAATAAAGACAAAAACAGGTAGTGGTAGATTTCTCAATCTTTGCTCATGTCCTTGGAGACTAGGGTAGAGTTTCACAGCTACTGCATTTTCCCCAGCTGGATCTTCTTCCAGGCCTCTGATGCTGTGAAAATGCAGGAGTCGAGGATCCCAGCTACAGTAAATGTTCCTCCAATGATGGCACATATCTGAAATGTACGGAGAGAGGAAACAGGTTTGTCAGTGATGAGGGAAACTTTTACACAGCTTGAAACTAGGGGGAAGGATATTATTGCCTACTGCTAGAGTATTTCCTGGAAGCATAGTAAGAACTGGGTAACAGTACTGGGGACATAATTACATGACAATCATTCAGGAAAACCGTTCCCTACAGTGGAATAACTTACTGCTATCCTGAACTCATCATAGCCTGAGCTAATTGTAAATCCCAGCTCCTAGGAGCCTACAGCATGAATGCTGTTCCTTTCTGCACTAAACTCCACCTAACAAAACTTTCTAGAAGTTCTGTGTTGCTCATATCTTCCTACTACTGTTTTCTATTACAAATACTACGGCCTTGTAGTCTTTCCCCTATTTCACAAGATACAACATTTGCAAACAGGCAAGACACTTAAATAGCATGTGAAGGACAGTGACTAACAGAGGAACCTAGCTACCAGTGACACCTACAGCTATGTCTGTCTAACACTTTCCATTACAAGGGCTGCTTACAAAAGCACTGCCAGCTTAACTCTTTGTGGGCCAAAGTTTTCCATGCAAGACGTCTCGTGTTGAATTATTTAAACAACAGTAAAAACACATAATCATTTTCAAGAACAGAGTTAGGGAAAAAATTAATCTCCTGATTAGCATAACAGGCTACTTCAGGTCTCAAGTGCTAGAAAAACGCGAAAGTATTCTGACATGTCAAACCAAAGGTACCTTGGCGTGGAGCACCCGAAATCAAGGGCACCAGTTACAGACTTTGCAACACACGGCTATGATTCCCTTATCTATGAAATGGGGACAATGCCAAACTTGCCTCCCAGGGAAACTGTGATGGAAAACACATTTGAAGGTTCAATAGCATGACAACAGTGCTGTCAGAGTCCTTGTGGAAACATATGACTTGTACTCAGGATCTGGTTAAGACAAACGACCTGCTAGTAGTCAAATACCATAGGATGGGAAGAAACGCTGCTCACAGGCTGCCACCCCAGCCCGCGCACTGCACAAGGCAGGGTTCACATGGAAAGTATGATACACAATAAATGTAACCTAATAACGTTTAGCAACCAAGTTATAATTACACAGGTCCTGACATTTCCTAACTCCCACATTTTTTACTTTGCAACTGTGATGCTCTTTATTTGGTCTTTTACGTCTCCTAGGATTAGGTGGCTCTAAGAATACCGAGTCAGTAAGAAGGGGACAAGATACAGAGCTTATCTCCTGAGAAGGGCCTGCCTAGGAAAAGGGGGATTTGGCTGTGACCTAGAAGCCAAGAGAGAGAGGAACCCCAAATCAGTACGCCAATGTAGCAGGGTATCAGGGAAATGCAATACAACTGACACAGAAGGGATCTGGTGCCACACCAGACCTACTGTGCCATGTCTCTCCTCCCACACAGCACTACACCCCATGGGCAAAGCTACAGACAAGAGAGTCACATAGCGCACTGTTCAGCTCAGCAGGGAGTTAGCAGTGGCAACAGAACAAACAGTTCAGTAATGGTGAGCGAAGGCAGCAAGAAATAAAGCACTCATTTACATGCGTATTTATAACTGGATATATGCATTTAGTGACCTTGGTGAAATGACGAGCTGCAGTAAACATGGCTTTTGCAAGACAGCTGGCATTCCAGCAGATAAAGGCTTCAAAACCCAGAGCGCCAACCTAACTGAGCCAAAGTTAGTATTTTTAGGGGACAAGTCCAGCTCCGGCTCCCTGCATCCCCCTCCTTGCTATCCCTCAGAGCATGACGCAGGGTGACTTTTCAGGGAAAATGACCGCAATGGAGTTGGGTTATTTCAGTCCACAGCAGCTCAGCTGACAGGAGATGCTACACCGCAAACAACAGAAAAACTGTCCAACACTAAGATTTTGCATCATATGGTAGGAAAATCTGATTTCAGTGCAGCAGTGCAAGGAGGTGAGGAATAGAAAAAAATATATATTCATCTGCACAGCTCTGTACTGCTGAAGGTTTATGAGTCACACACACCTGGCATTTGCTTGGAGCCTGCCTCCCAGCACGCACACAGCCCTCTTGTTTTGTTGTGATAAAAAGAAAAGCAGCACCAGTGTTGGTCTCTAGGTCAGCACAGAAGCTGCACCCACTGTGTTTCTTTATCATCACAGTTCTAATATGTATGTGGTGTTGCTCCTTAGCAGCACTGAAGGAAGTTAGGCATCATGCACTTCTTTACATTTAATGGAGTATACTGGGAATGATCTGCATTTGGCTCCCTGAGGTTACAGTTTGACTCAGGCCCAACCATTAAAGAAGAAAGGAAAAGAAATATAGAAATGTAATAATTACAGCAGTAAGAGACCATGCCATGTGGGGTACATGTGAGGATTTTGAACAGAATATGGTTATAGAATAGTGGCTGGGATGCAGGATGAAGTCTAAAGGAAAACACGAGTGGATATGTAGGAGGGGGCAAAGCTGCAAGCACGATGGCAGAAAGGCAAGTGTCAGGTACCTGACTCTGGGATGGCTTAAAATCTGAAAATTCCTTTTAAAGGACAGAGGGGACCAGTAGGACCCGCAGGTAATTCCTGGTAAGGTAAGCTCTGGAATTCCACCCAAGAGATTTCTGGCTGACCTGCAGCGCATCTTGTAGAGCAACACTATCTTGGTTTTAAAAATGCCACAGGACTGAGTCTATGATACCTGTTGGTAACAGGTCCCATGGCTGAAATAATTCTACCTGCAACCATTTTCCCCCCCATTATTTCCAGTTTCCTTTTTTTCTATACCTAGAGGGCAGATGAGTTCTCTCATATAATGAAAAAAATTCTATTCTTTTCTTTGGATTTTGAATGCTTCACCAGAACTTTGTCTTGTTTTCTGCCTGCTCTCCGCTCCCAGCTGCTAGACTGACCTTATGATAAAACCTTCTTTCAGTTTGGCCACTTACAGGAACTCATAAATTTTCAGCAGTGAAACTCTCTCCCTTGCTCCATAACCTCAACCACGAGGCCATGAATGGCTTCTATTTATGGGGAGATGCCTTGATTTTAAGCAGTACTGTTTAACAGGCAAAAACTACTGTGTTTAACACTATGCCAAGTGTCTCTGGTTAGCCCCAGGATCTGTGGCAAATTCACAGCCCAGTCACAGTGGCAGTACTGACCCACAAGCAATACAAAATCTAATTTAGTACTGAGTATTTTAAAGCGTGACATGTAAAGTAAAATCTATGCTAAACCAATACCTTTAGTCCTGCTCAGGAAGCACCTCTCACATAGTGCAGAAAACTAGGATAATTTTTCATACCACAAAAACCCAAGGAGTTAGAGCAGGTCTGTTGGGAACACAGAAGACCTGGGAGCACTGCTATGGTGCAATAATGTTGCTCTTAGTGGCTCTGAAGTTTTTCGGGGGCAAACTTGTTACTAACAAAGAGCATCAGATAATCTTCCCACTGGCAGAATGAGATTCCTTTGGCTCCCTGCTGAAAAGCCAACACCCCTCTCACAAGCCCACAAGATTCACCCCCACTCCTGGGACACGTTTAAATTTACTGAAAGCCACATAGGTGCCCTAGTAAACAAGCTGGGCACCCATGGAAAACTAAAAGGAGTTGCAGGTGATCATCTCCCTACCCCAGAGCCCCTCTTGTGGCTTTTAAATTAAGCAGCTGCTGCTCAGAAAAAGCTGATGCTTTCCATGGCCAGCCCCATTTGGCAATGACTCCAGTTGCCCCAGCACAATCTCTGCCTGGACCTCAGCCCAGTGCCGATCATCACTAACTGGTCTCCAGAGCAACGGTGATGCAAAAGGCCATGCTGGAGATACAGGAAGGGGCTAAAGCAGTGGAAAGGACAACAGAACCAATCATGTCATCAAAACAGGGCAAGGAAACCTAGGACAAAAAGTGTTTTGATCCTCTGCAGCACTGCTCCTCCCCTCCAACCTTTTCAATGCCACGCTGAACGCTGTATAGCTTTAAGTGTAGCACATACACAGCCAAGGCTGCCCTACCATAAAACACTCCTAGCCTAAATGAGAGCAAGGGCAGGTCATCTGTACCAGAGCCAGATGGTCCAGACTGATAGCCACGATATAGCATCTGCAACACATCTGACAATGGCCTGGCATACCTGTCTGACATACTGCATAACAGCTACTGCAGACATCAGTGTCATCCACACGTCTCCACAGGAAGGACATTCAAGTAGAATGGCCCCAAGTGAGCTGCTTGAGACTATAGCCATTTATAAGACCAAACAAAGTAGACAAAAATAAATTGTAAAACTCTTCCTCAGCAGTCTAGCAGCCAGCACATGCCTGGCTAACTTTACAAACAGGATGGGGCAAAATTCTAGCTGGGGCCATCTCAAATCCAAAAGGTCATTGTGGCAACCAGTGAGGAAAGCCTCTGTTGTGGACTCCTTATGTAAACTCTGAAGCATGGTATCACATTCAACAAAGATGCTATTTATATGCATACAATGGCATATCAGCAGTAAATCAATGCTAGCAATGGACGTGACAAAGAATAATGCCAGGTATCAATCATTTCCAAACACTGTTTCCCATTAAAAACACCTCCGCTCCCTCAGCCCCAACAAGATGCATAAGAAACTTATGAGAGCATACTGTTAGGGAAAAAAAAAACGTAGAGGCAATATGAGATGCCAAGTCATAAAATGCTGATGTTTGACCTTTTTTTAGGATTATGTTTTGAAACCAAACAGATGTGCTAAGAAGAGCAGGTCTTAAACCACGAAAGTTAGATTTTACTTCAATCCCCTTTCTCTTGGTATTTGTGTATCCTAGAGATCACATGCATTTCTGAAGTTAAGTGAAAGGAACTTGGTGTTTATCAGAAGCTGCAAAATCAAAAATCTTAAGTGCAACACAGCCACACTGTTTATGTTACTTCCAATTAAAATATTCAAACAGTTTAATAATAAAAAACTGAGGTCTTCATTCCAACCAATTTATCAACTACTTCACATTCCACCATGCCCCACTGGCACAGCAGACTGCAGCTTAAATTTTAAGCCAACTCCTTCAGGACACATTTTTTAAAGCTCTGGAAGATCTTTAAATAGCTCTTTGCCTAACTACCAGTTTGGACAGTACAGCTTTCTTATAGATGCTGAGATCAGTACTGCAGGATGTTATCTGTATAGATCAAAATATAACTTGTCAGGAAAACACATCTGGAATTTGATAGTGCAGCTCCTTCCTGCTTCTACCCAGGAGTAAATGTCTGGAACTGGCATACCCATATTAAGCCAAGCAGCAGCACTGAGTAAAACAACTGCCCTGCTTTCTCTGCAAGTTAGATCTCATCATTAGAGAGACGGTTTATTGCAGCATGCTTTACTGCATACCACATTGGTTTTACTTCCAAGTTTCTGACATGCTGCAATAGTGCCTATCCTGCCTAGACAGAGTTTGGCACTTCTGGAATAGGATAATTTTCTTTCTTCTTGTGCCTAGCTATTAAATCAAATTGTCAGAGCACTGGGCTTACCAGTTACCTCACTTACACTTCAGTACAATTGTGCTGATGTACTGCTTTATTTCAATCATGTCACACTGTGCTGAAGCAGAAACTCAATTATTCTAGACAAGAAAGGCTCAGAAGAGAAATGGAAAGCAGGCAGGAGAAAGGAGAATTAGAGGTTTAGAGTAACTCACCGATGTGATAAACCTGTACAAAGGCTGTCGCCTCTCTGTGTATTTCACTGTGATGGGGCTCAAATCGTAACGAAACCAGATAGCTGGGATAATGCGGCCGGTGTGACTGTAGGCTACATACTCCTAGAAAAGAAAGTGGGAGAAAAATGGCAGAAAACATGAGCAATCTCATTCCAGACAGAGCATCTGCAATAAAACTGCTTCTGTGCATCTGGTCCTTACCCCACTGTTTTGTACTACTGATCAGACTAAAAGCAGCAAACAGTTGATTCCTGTATGACTGCCCATCCCTCTTCCTTATTAAATCGGAAAATAAGTTCTTTACTGTCTGATAATGATATAGCTGAGAACAGAGAGTGATGGTACTTAGTCTCACCTTCATTCAAAGTTACAGAAGTAAATAGAAAGGTTGTAATTGATTCATCTACCTTAGACCTACTCTTTTTAAATACAAGCAGTCTCTAAGTGGTTGCAGGTGAAGTTTTCATACTGTCAGCATCTAAATCGTATTCTGGGATATTCATCAAACAAATGGAATTTAGTTTGCAAGAACCTGAAAAATCCCTTCTTGTCCATGCACTCAGAACAGCAAGCAGCAGCTCCTGCCTGTAGGGCCCCCTTCACACTGGGTCCAACAATGTGAGTGCTTTGCCCACTCAGTATGAATCATGTAGAGCCATGTTTAAACCACGTCTAAAAATCATGCTGAAAGCTAAAATGAAATTGTAGACAGAAAAATATTGGCAAAGATAAAAAAAAAATTCCAAGCTGATTCAGGAGAGACATCTTCAGATTGCCAGTGATAATTTAATCAGTTTCTTTAATACCAGGTACAGTGCAATCAATCAGCCACAGGACAACAACCCAAAAGACGTACTGCACAAAGCCAATGTAGAACAGTTACTAACATCAACTTAGTATCAAAACTCACATCTTGATGAGCTAATATTTTGTCTGTGCTCTCAGTGGATATATATCAATTTTCAAGGATCAGGGCATATTATCTTGACAGACTGAAGACAAATCAAAGAAAAGCAGGCTGGGGACTCAGCAATCTAATGAGGAACTGGGGTTGTTCAGTCTGGAGAGAGGAGGCTGAGGGGAGACCTTATTGCTTTCTACAACTACCTGAAAGGGGGTTGTGGTGAGGTGGGTGTTGGTCTCTTCTCCTAAGTAACTAGCAATAGGACGAGAGGAAATGGCCTCAAGTTGCGCCAGGGGAGGTTGAGATTGGATATTAGGAAAAATTTCTTTACCAAAGGAGTGGTCAAGCATTGGAACAGGCTGCCCAGGGAGGTGGTGGAGTCACTGTCACTGGAAGTGTTCAAAAAACGTGTGGACATGGCACTTCAGGATATGGTTTAGTGGGCATGGTGGTGTTGGGTCAATGGCTGGACTTGATAATCTTGAAGGTCTTTTTCAACCTTAATGATTCCGTGATTCTGAGCACCATCAGCACTGGCATGGCACACACACTGCCTCTTTACCTAGCTGCTCTTCCCTTCTTTAGCCCTATGACATGCCTGCCAACTCAGATGACCTCTTCTGTTTTAATTCTCCTTCACCCAGAGGCAAAGACAACCTCAAATACTTCAGAAAGATGAAGAAAGCAATAGGACAAGCATGATCCAGAAGAAAATAACCTTACTCTCTGTGAACTCAGAGGAAGCTAGTGAAACAGCTGCTGTCTCCTTCATTAATCACATAAATCCCAAATTTTCCTCTATTTAGCTTTTTTTCCATGGACGACAAGAGAAGCAGAATGCAGCTGAAGGCCCTAGTCATAATATTTTCAGGGCTCCTATTGCAGAAGTTCTGCAGCATATCTTGGGACAGTGGCTATCTGGGGAAGCGAGAAAACACAGGGTCTAGGAGGTAAAAGGGGAGAGGAGACAGTCCACACTTAAGACTCTATTCATCTCTTCCTACTGGTCAATCTGTGCCAGACTATTCCAATGGCTTCTCATTTCTGTTTCTCACCAATCAGTATGGGAGTCAAGGACTAAAGCACCGATAAGAGAATTTTTATTTTTAATGAGAAGAAAACGCAAGAGGCAGCACTGTTTCTGTGCACTTCAATTTTGACAGAACTGACCTCATTTTTTCCTTCCTCTCCCCTTTTCCCCACCAGCAATCCTGCCCTAATGAGTCAGTCTTGGCAAAACGCCCCAATTTGCAACCGTGCTCACAGAAGTGTCAAAAGCTCCTGCTGTCTATTTTCCAAATTACTTTCGCAAGTTGCGTCGCAACAGTCTTATCAGAACAACAGTTGTGACATTAAGCAGAACAAATACGTTGTAATCTGAATAGAGGGAGACATCCAAATCATTGGGACACACTGTACAAGCAAGCCAAAAAGACAGGAACGTTAATCTGAGAACTAGTCCATGAGAGTGCATGCTTGATTCTCAGTTATGATAAACTAACGGTAATTAGATATTATAAATGGATTCTGGACTTTTATGTAGCACTTGACTGGCAAATAATTTTAAATTGAAAAAGGCTTTTTACCTTTAAAAAAAAAAAAGGCTCTATTTAATTTTTAAGTTCAATGCATCGTGTTACTAAGATACAAATAACTTCACATTTAATGTAAATTAAAGACTTATAAAGCTACAATAACTATCATAATCCACTATAATAAAGTAGGCACTGTGAAACAGTCAACCAGTACTTATTTGCTGCTGCAGGTTCAGTGTCTTCATATCTGAAACCAATGTTTGTAAAAAGCTAAAAACCTGCTAACTTGTCTGATACATCCATCACAACTGAGACTGTTTTATTAATAAAACCACGTGTAAGTGCTGTTTCGTATGTTCAGCTGGATTGCGGTTTCCAATCCAGATGCATCTTGACACAAATAACAAGAGCTCCTGCAGCATGTAAAAACCTTCCACACAATTTATAGAAATCCAGATCAGTTAAACTGACATATGAGAAAGTCAGGAGCAAGAATACCTTTCTCTAGAATTAAAACCATACCACCACCTGCTCTGACAAGCCCTCACAGTCCCAACCCTGGTAAACACCAGGACCAGGAGCAACAGAAAGCCCCACTCTGAAGAGCTTCAGTTCCTCCTCCTCCCAGCAGAGGCTACTGCTCACCTACAAACAAACGTACATGGCTGCAGAGCACAGGAGCAAGAGGGAGGAGGAATGAGGACTGAAGATCCTCCATGCATCCACTGGGCTGCAATGAGGAGCTTCTCTGAGAACTACCTGCTGCTTTACCTTATTTGCTACAGTATATTGGTATGAGTATCGCTGCTTGCCACTCATGTCTTCGTACACCGTCGGGACTATCTTCAGTATGTAATCATGAGATGCAAGAGCTGTGGTCAGGAAAGGAAAGGAAAGTATACTTTAGCATTCAAAGAAAGGAATCACAGCCTACACAACATTTCAAAGTAAATGTGCAAAATCAACTAAAGTAAGTCACAGAAAAGCTACCTCCCTCCTCCTTATCTCAGGTTCTGTGACAAAGTGACAATTTCACATCCTACATTTATGTCCTTTGTACAAAACTTTGTAAGGTAGTTGGATGACACCAGAACCTGCCCAGCGTTCTAAGACTTCTGTAGTACCACAACCCATGGAGATGAATTGGGTCACTTGAATCTTCCTGACTGCTTGCAACTATAAATGATAAGACCTATCAGCACCACAAAAAGCTGTTCTGGTTAAATCAAGAACTAGCTAGGCTTAGAGCTGCAGCTCATCAACAGAAAAAGCTGAGGCATCACAACGTGTGTAGTCTCATTTCTTGTGCACCCATTGATCTTTCTTTCTCTTCTTCCTTCTCCTACTGTTGCTTAACAACTATTGATTTATTTTTTTCATTATTTAAATCGCTTGTGCCATTTTTTTTGTCTGCTGAAACAGAATTCTAAATTATTTCTCTGCAGGATCCTTTGGTCAAGTGTAACACAATGACATCTGGCTCCTGGAGGGAAAAAAAAAACAACCAAAAAACCAAACACAATTGTCTAGCTTCAGGAACAGCCGTAGAAATGTTGTTCCAAGAAGTGGACAAGACTGATATCCTGTGGTAGCCTGAACACTTGAAGGACAAAAACTGTGCTGAATTGTAGCATGCACTGGAAATTTCTTTTTGTGTTGCTGGTCATAAAGAAGGGCAATGAAAACGTCTATCTTTCCAGCCACAGGGTAGAACTTAAGGTAAGAGCTAACGTGCAATACGAGAACAAGGAAAAGTTCTGGTGGTGGTGACAGCAACAAAGGGAAGCTATAGGAATAGGATATAGATTAAAAACTCAGTAATTCTGAGTCTGTCGTAACAGAGCTGGAAACAATGTCCAGGCTGCAGAAAGGCTGCAGAGGACCTTTTAGGCTAAGCCTTCTTTATGGTGCTGGAGAAAATGCAAATGTCAGTCAGCAACGTCTGCATGATTTTGGCTAAAGAGGCAAATTAAAGACTTCTGGATACACCAGTGTTGCATGAATGACCCTGTTTTCCCTCCTGCAGAGAGTGGCTAAGACCTGTAATCACCAAGAATACATACGATTTGAGCTGAGTTTGTCTGCTCCCTCCAAGGCATTGAATGCTCCATGAACGTTATGGACCTGGAAAGCAAAAAGGTGTATGAGGAAACTATGCTCTGACTTGGTACTCTTGGTGCTTCTCTATTCTATCCTGTAACAAGGAGATCAGCTGATTCAACCTTTCCGAAAACAAAGCCTCAACCCAGTAAAAGATGACTTGAAATATCTTTCAGTGACCATCACCACAGCGGTTGGTTCCAAGTAAAAAAGTTGATTTCACAACGTCTTATAAGATGAAACTCCAAAACCACTCCAAAGCCAAAGGAATTGCAGTTGGAAGAGGCCAGTTGTGAAATTTCATTGTGAGATATTTCCTAAGAGCTTTGCATAGTTAACTGTGAAATTAATTTATCAAGCTGAAAGAAAAATAAATGGGAGTCACATTCAGGTTAAAACTCAAGATTTCCTCTGTAAAGGTAGCTCATATCAGAGCAGTTGGGCTTGTACAGCTTTAACTCATTAGCCCAGCTTTAACGCCATGCACACAATGCCCTTGGAGATGGGAAGGACACATGCCAACACTGCCGTCCATTCAGCTTTTCCTGCAGCTGGTCGCAGGCATGCAAGTATCTGTTTGCCCAGAATAACAGGATTTCCATCCCATGCCTTCCACATACTATGATCTGAAGTCTGATGTCCACCAACAGAATAATCAATTTGTGAACTCTCTAGACAGGAAAAACCTCACAGCAACAGCTGTAGATTAGAGGTTGCATCATTCACATAACATACAGTAAGCTATACAGAAAGACAAATAACTCCACAACCTAGAAATTCCTGACCTTAAGCCAGACAACCTAGAAGAAGAGTTTGGAAGAAGTATTTGGTCATGGATGTGACAGAATTTCAGGTCACTAACAGGGCAATGCAATCTCCTTCCCAGATCCCCTCAATAACTGAGAGCATGTGGATGTATTTGTCTCATCCTAATGGCTGCTTCCCTATTCTGAATGCTACGGAGTGGATGACGGTTTGGAGAAAGCAGCAACTGAACCCATTTCTCCCCTGAGAAAGGAAATTCTAGAGAGGCAAAATCATCAGCAAGTTCAGCTGGCAAGGTGCTGGTAACAAGCACAGAGCAAAAGCATCAGCTGAACCTTCTACACTGCCTTGCAGTCTGCTGGCATTTCAAATACGTTACACCACAGCAACTATTTCCAAACTACACATGCAGACTGTACATATTCTTTACTCATTGTAAAAAGCATATGAAGAAAGAGAAGCGCCTGGACTGGGTTAGTGTTATGTTCCATTCTTGATACAGCTGAGAGGTAAGTCTCTGGGCCAGAGACTTTAACATCCACTTCAAATACTCTGACAGCAAATACTTTAGTGGCTGCTCAGCAAACAACTGTATCTGTCCTGTGAGGTACCTGTATACCTGGACTTAACGTTCTTGTCCTTGGCTCTCTAGTATCTACACTTCTGTTTAAACGTAAAAGTTGTCTGCTCTGCTTCTCTCTACACAGTGAGTTTGCAAAGCTGTGAGTTACAGGACTTCCACACAGACAAAGCCACTCTTGCCTGTTTCTGTGCCATCAGGTCCTTTGGTGCCTTTGCCTCTCTTGTCTTTACAACATGGATGGTGTTTGTAACTCCTAGTCTGATGTTTTACCATGATTTTCCTTGTGGAATATTCTGAACTCCCATTACAATACTTGCTGTCTGTACTGGGTTTGTGTGGCAAGGCTTTGGTAGGGGGGACCTACAGGGGTAGCTTCTGTGAGAAGCTGCTAGAAGCTTCTTCCATGTTCAATAGAACCAATGCCAGCCAGCTCCAAGACAGACGTGCTGCTGGCCAAGACCAAGCCCATCAGCGACATACCACCGCCATCAGCGCTACCACGCGCCTCTGAGAAAACATGTATAAGATGGGGAAAAAATAAAACTGAGCAATTGCAGCCAGAAGGACGAGTAAGAATATGAACGTTGTTGGAATTGTTGGAACAACTCTGCAGACACCAAGGTCAGTGCAGAAGGAGGGGGAGGAAGTGCTCCAGGTGCTGGAGTAGAGGTTCCCCTGAAGCCCACAGTGAGGCCGGCTGTGCCCCTGCGGCCATGGAGCTCCATGGGGAGCAGATCTGCACCCGCACCCGGGGAGGGCCCCACGCCGGAGCAGGGGGGTGCCCGAAGGAGGTTGCGACCCCGTGGGCAGCCCGCGCTGGGGCCGGCTCCTGGCAGGGCCTGCGGCCCCGCGGGGGCGGGGC